TTCCGTATAGAAAAGTTATCGATAATAATTTTTCCGTATAGAAAAGTTATCGATAATAATTTTTCCGTATAGAAAAGATATCGATAATAACTTTTCCGTATAGAAAAGTTATCGATAATAACTTCTCCGTATAGAAAAGTTATCGATAATAACTTCTCCGTATAGAAAAGTTATCGATAATAACTTTTCCGTATAGAAAAATTATCGATAATAGCTTTTCCGTATAGAAAAATGATCGATAATAGCTCTTCTGTATAGAAAAGTTATCGATAATAACATTTCCGCGTAGAAAATTTATCGATAATAACATTTCCGCGTAGAAAATTTATCGATAATAACATTTCCGCGTAGAAAATTTATCGATAATAACATTTCCGCGTAGAAAATTTATCGATAATAACTTTTCCGTATAGAAAAGTTATCGATAATAACTTTTCCGTATAGAAAAGTTATCGATAATAACTTTTCCGTATAGAAAAGTTATCGATAATAACTTTTCCGTATAGAAAAGTTATCGATAATAACATTTCCGCGTAGAACATTTATCGATAATAACTTTTCCGTATAGAAAATTTATCGATAATATCATTTCCGCGTTGAAAATTTATCAATAATAACTTTTCCGTCTGGAAATGTTATCGATAATTAAATTTCCTCATAGAAATATTGTCGATAACAAATTTTCCGTATAGCAAAGTTATCGATAATAACTTTTCCGTATAGAAAAGTTATCGATAATATCTTTTCCTTATAGAACAGTTATCGATAATAACTTTTCCATATAGAACAGTTATCGATAATAACTTTTCCATATAGAAACGTTATCGATAATAGTTTTTCCATATAGAAAATTTATCCATAATTAATTTTCCACATAGAAAATTAGTCGATAGGAATTTGTCCGTATAGAAAAGTTATCGATAATAACTTTTCCGTCTGGAAATGTTATCGATAATAACATTTCCGCATAGAAAAGTTATCGATAATAACTTTTCCGCATAGAAAAGTAATCGATACTAACTTTTCCACATAAAAAAGTTATCGATAACGACTTTTCCGTATAGAAAAGTTATCGATAATGACTTTTCCGTATAGAAAAATTGTCGATAATAACCTTTCCCTATAGAAAAAAGTCGATAACAACTTTCCCATGTAGAAAATTTTTCGATAATAACACTTCTTAGTTAGAAAATGTCGATAACATTGTTCGCTTTTGAAAATCTTTTTTTATTTTTTTTATTTTTAAAAGTGTATTTCCTATTATCACAGCTGTTGTGAAAATTGCTTGTAAGAATAATCTTTGATAGACATGCCTCAATATGCAGCCACATTACATTCTTGCCTTTATTAGCCGCTCAGCGGGTGGTTGTTTATCGAACTGCATTTTTGCTTGATGCGTAACGCGAATTCAAACAGGAAAAATATCTAACCAGAATTTTGTTTTTTTTTTTTTATTTTTGCTAATTTTTTCTTTTCAAATTTTTGTGGTGTGGAAACGATATGAGTGCGGCCTGAGGGCTGTTTAGAATTTTTGTGGTTATTTTTTCGACAAAACAAATATGGGGAAATACAATTTTTGAGTTGATAAATTTCCCCATGCCGAGTTATTTTGAATTTCTAATTATTTTTAGAGCCTTAGCCATCAACTAAAAATATGCCAAATCATCCATCCATGTTGTTGCACCCTGATAACAAATTTTCTTTTTTTTTTTGTTCTTCTCGATATTGTTATTTTGATTTTTAGCTGCCGCTGTCTCATGCCATTCAAATTTGACCCGTGTCTCGTTTTATTTGGTGTGTGTGTGTCGTCGTCCCCCCACTACATATGTCTATGTTTATGATCTATTCCCCCCAATTTTACTAGTTCGCCGCCGATGTCTGCCAACAATTTTCATACAATATTGTGTTTTTCTGTGATATATGACCAACCATTCTGTTTCTTGCTCTTCTGCTATCCTCTGCACTCACAATTGTATGTAGATGTGTGTGTGTGTGTGTCTCTTAGGTACATTCAACCTGTCGCGTTTGTCTAATGCAGCCAGTCAACCAGCCAGCAGTCACACACTGCCTGCCGCCGCTATCTATTTATGTTTAATATTCATGTTTTTTGTGTGTATTGATTTATTTTGTTTTCTTTCCCTCATTTTCCTTTTTCTATTTTTACTTGTTTGTGTTTTTTGTTGTTGTCGTTGTCGTTATGGCTGTGTATCTATGACAAACGTTCACCACACGTTCATGCCACACCATCATCCATGTCATCAACATCTATTCACCCGTTAATTCTTCTTTTGCCTCTTTCGCTATCTCTCTTTCACAGTTGTAATATGAGCACTAAAAAAAACAAATTATGACGTATCAGGTCTTCTTTTGTGATTGCAACATTGACTTTGTTGTTTTTACAGCTATTATGTATGCTGGGTTATTGCATTTCCATAGGGTTATGCTACCATCCCCACCTTCCCTCTTCATTGATTCCTTGCCAACAGAAAAACAGTGAGAACTCATCATTCTCTTTCATTAAATCCCCAATTATTTGACTCTCTTTAACTTGCAACTGGTTCTGAGTAACGGCCAAAGCTATTCTTTCTCTTTGTTTACATTTTCTTTGGGGGACAAGAGAGACTCCTAACTCTTTTTCTCTTCAAATTTAACTAAGTGTGTGTGTGTCTGTGGGGGGACTCTTAGTCACGTTTCATTCGTTTGTTGTTTTTTTTCTTCTTCTTGGTTCTTCGAATGGGGAATTCATTTGCAATCGCAATTTCACTTGTTGTTGGTGTTGTTACTGTGGGGGTTTTATTACGAAATGCATTTATTGTTGTTGCCTTTGCTGTCATTTCCACTTCTTAATCTAATAAATGTGAGTGTGCGAGTGTGTAACATTTATTCTGTGTTTATTTTAGTTTTTATTTATTTTGTTTTCCTTTGGATTTCCCAGTAAAGCGGAAGTTTGTACACGTACGCGTTTTTTCATGTCATTTGTGACTTGTAATTCTTAATTTTTTATGCTTTTTTTGTTGTTCTTCCTCTATGGCAATAAAATTTTATATTCATGAATGTGAACTCTGCAATTGCAGGGTTCAATTAATTACTTTAGAATGTAATTATGCAGATGTGTTTTAAAATCTACACCTATTAATTTGAAATAAAGTCGAATACTATATTTCACAAAGGAAACCTTATCGACAATGAATTAAGACAATCTAAATTTAATCGATAACTTGTGTATTTTGTAGAATTGTCATAGAAAGTTATCGATAACAAATTTTCTAAATGGTCAATCTGTATGTAAGAGTTTTTTAGGTTCCGATAATAACTTTGTTATATTCAAAGCTACCGATAACAGCCTACTACTATGGAAAAACAAAGGATAATAACATTTTTGCATGATTTTTTCTTTACAATTTTTGTCGATAACAACTTTTCCCTGTAGAAAATTGTCGATAATACTTTTTCTCCGTAAAAAAGTTGTCGATGATAACTTTTTCATGTAGAGTAGTTATCGATTATGACTTTCCTCTTTTGAAATGCTAGCGATAATAAATATACCGTATAGAAAAGTGATCGATAATAACTTTTCCGAATAGATAAGTTATCGATTGTAACTTTTCCGCATAGCTAAGTTATCGATAATAACTTTTCCGAATAGATAAGTTATCGATTGTAACTTTTCCGCATAGCTAAGTTATCGATAATAACTTTTCAGCATAGAAAAGTGATCGATAATAACTTTTCCGCATAGAATAGTTATCGATAATGACTTTTCTCTTTAAAAAAGTTACCGATAGTAAATTTTCCACTTAGAAAAGCTTTCGATAATAACTTTTCCGCATAGAGAAGCTATCGATTATAGTTTTTCCGCAAAGAAAAATTATGGATAATAACTTTTCCGCATAGAGAAGCTATCGATTATAGTTTTTCCGCAAAGAAAAATTATCGATAATAACTTTTACACATAGAAAAGTTTTTGAAAGTTAGAAAGTTGCCGAAAATATTTTTTTCTGTAAAAAAGTGGTCATTGATAACTTTTTCATGTAGAATAGTTATCGATAATGACTTTTCTTTCTTGAAATGTTACCGATAATAAATATTCTGTATAGAAAAGCGATCGATAGTAACTTTTCCGCATAGACAAGTTATCGATAGTTACTTTTCCGTATAGAAAAGTGATCGATAATAACTTTTCCGCATAGAAAAGTTAACGATAATAATTTTTCCGCATAGAATAGTTATCGATAATGACTTTTCTCTTTTAAAAAGTTAACGATAATAAAATTTCCGCTTAGAAAAGCTATCGATAATAACTTTTCCGCATAGAGAAGCTATCGATAATAGCTTTTCCGCATAGAAAAGTTATCGATAATAACTTTTACACATAGAAAAGTTATCGATAATAATTTCTCCGCATAGAAAGTGATCGATAATAACTTTTCCCGCATAGAAACGTGATCAATAATAATTTTTCTGCAGAGAAAAGTGATCGATAATAATTTTTCCGCATAGAAAAGTGAAAGGTATTATCGATAACTTTTCTAGACGGAAAAGTTATTATCGATAACTTTTCTTGACGGAAAAGTTGTTATCGATAACTTTTCTATGCGGAAAAGTTATCCGCATAGAAAAGTTATTATCGATAACTTTTCCGTCTAGAAAAGTTATCGATAATAACTTTTCCGTCTAGAAAAGTTATCGATAATAACGTTTCCGTCTAGAAAAGTTATCGATAATACCTTTCCTGTCTAGAAATGTTATCGATAATAACTTTTGCGCATAGAAAAGTTATCGCTAAAAGCTTTTTCGTCTAGAAAATTTATCGATTATAACTTTTCCGCATAGAAAAGTTATCGATAATCAAATTTTTGGTGCAGAAAAAAATATCGATAACAAATTTAACGATATATTAAAAATAACCATTCTTTAATTATTCTTCTCCCAAAAATAATCGAAGTTAAATGTCAAGAACTCAACTAATTTTCTTTCTCCTTTCCTCTATCTCTTTGCAGCAAAAAACCGAATTAAGTCCACCTGCACATCAAACGATAGCCAGCAGCAGCAATGAATCCGCCACAGCACAAAGTAATCGGGACTCATCGGCAACAGCGATATCATTATCAACCTCCAATAACAGCCAAACATCAGCATCGGCGGCGTCACATCATAAATCAAATGAAGCCAAAGTCAATGCATCTTCAGCGGGTTCCAGTACGGGAGGTGGCCTGGCAACATCTTCGGCAACAACACATAAAAATTCCAGTACAGCAGCTGCGGCGGCTGCAGCAGCGGCTAAAGAGCGTGAGGAACGTTATGCCGCTGCTCAGGCCGCTTTGGCGGCAGCAAATGGTGGAAGTATGTCATCTACGACGGCAACAACTTCGCCCTCTGCCACGGGTAATGTTGCTGCGCCAAGTCTATATGTATCCGTGCCATTGTCAAATGCAAATGTACCTGGAATCAATATACCAACAACAACAGCAGCGGGAAGCACAACGGGAAGTCAAGGTAAATAATCTTTAATTAAAATGTCTTTTGTTTAAATATTAATATTTATTTGCTTTCTCACTTACAGAACAACACATAACAGGACAAACAACCACGCGATCAACTAGTCAACAGCAACAATTGGCGGCTGCAGCAGCGGCAGCAGCAGCAGCCTCATCCACAACATCATCACCCATGGATCGTCAATCACCTTTTAATAATTCTGCCAACTCTTCGACGACATCGTCGATACCATCACCGGTCAATCAACAACACAGTAGTGTTATTTATCAACAGCCAAGTGGCAAATCTCCCAATACCCATGGGACAGGAGCGGCCGGTGGTGCAGCCTCATCAACAGGCATTAATCTAACAGCCTCCACAACAGAAACCGGCAATTTAAAGATTAGCTATGAAAAACAATCATCGGCATCCTCATCATCGTCACGTGTTAGTCAAATACAAGATCAGGAGACGGCACCCATGAGACGTAGCAGGTTAGTCCATTAGCAAATATTTGCAATATGTAGCCAGTCAGTTACTCCTAATTACATCAACACACGTACACCCGCCACCACCACCACCACTACACGTTATTACTATTGACATAAACATCATCATTGTCGAAACCGAACCGAAAAAAAATTACTAACCACTTACACTTGTATTTGAATATTTCTTTAGTTTTGTGCATGTTTTTTTTTCCTTTCTAACCTCCACTCACCCTCTCTTTTTTTAACTATTTTTTTTGGTATTTTAAGAACTTATGTTTTATAATATTTCTTTACCGTTTTCTTCATCTCAAATCCTTTACGATTTGAATGAAGTAATAACCGGAGCTGTTGAAAATGTCATTGAATATCCATTTCTAAATTTTGTTGGCTTTGTTGTTATTGTATTTTAAAAATTGTATTATTTGGAAAAACTATTCTAAAAGAAGGTCTTTTGTTGTTGTTGCTACTATTTTCGAAATCCTGTTGAAATCCTTAATTTTCCAACTAGGAATGATGGGAGGATTTAAACGTTTTTTTATTCAAAAATTCTCAGGGAAATAAAGTCTATATTTTATACCTTTTATTTATTTGACGACCGATTCGAAACTTTTGTTGGCCCAATAATTTTGGTTGTGTCAGATTTTTTTTTTCGTATATATATTTTTCTAGGCAATCCTTTTCTATTTTAGTAATTGGTAGTAAACTTTTTTGTTTGGGTATCATCGTAAGCATTGTCGGTAATGATTTGTACCTCCAAAGAAGGTATTTAATACTTGGAGGTTGCCGTTTTTGCAGATTCTGCATAGAGAAGTTTCAGTCAGTACACATTGCTAAAATTGGGAAAGCGAGTCAATGGGTTACTTAATTTCGAGTTGGATCTTTCCTCTCATAAATGCTGTAAAGCATGAAACGGAGCTAAGAGAGTTATGTGAAACATGTGCGGATTCTTTTACATTTTGTGAATTCTTTTAATAATGATGCTTGATTCTTTCGTCTTCATTCATGAAGTAAATTAATGAGATCTTTGACAGCAAGAAGTTTGACGGCAGACCAATGTTGATGAATGCTCGAAAAAGGCACAAGTGTTTTATTTTAGAATTTTTTAGGTATTGACAATAGTATGTCAAAGAAGTCCTAAAGGTTTGGGGTAGGATTTGAAAAATGTAGCTTGAAATGTTGCAAAATGTTAAAAAAATATTTTAGGTCTCAGGGCTGGTTTTGAAAAATGTGCCTTGAAGCGTTGCAAAATTTTTAAAAAAATCAACGCCTATAGGTCTCAGGGTAGGCTTTGTAAAATATAAAAAAAACTTCATGCCAAAATGCCCCAAGATGAGCTTTCAAAGTTATATAAAAAGTCTGTGCCTAAATAGCTCAGGATAGGCTTTGAAAAATATTTACTTAATTAGCTTAGGCTTTAACAAATATTTAAAAAAAATCCACCCAGGATGGCCTTTGAAAATATTTAGAAAAAACCAAGCCCAATGAGTCCGGCATCATGTCCAAATAGCTTTCAACAAATTTTCAAATCCATGCCTAGGTAGATTTTGGTAGGTTTGTAAACCTCGCCTGAGAAGCTGAGGGTTGGCTTTAAAAACGATTGAAAAAACTCACTCCTACTCAGCAAACGTTGGCTTTGAAAAAGAATATAAAAATCCTAGGTTCAGAAGTTAAGATTTGGATTTGAAAAACGTTTAAGAAATGCTCGCCTAGCTAGCTTTAAAAAATCTTTAAGAAACCTATGCTCAAGGAGCTCAGAGTAGGCTTTGAGAATGTTTTAGAAATCTACGACAAGGGACCTCAGAGTAGACATTAAAAAATCCATGTTCAGGTGGCTTTGTCTACTCTGAGGTCCCTTGTCGTAGATTTCCAAAACATTTCTCCATGGTTCAGGTGGCTTTGTAAATCTTTAGAAAAATTCGCGCTCCAGAAGCAGAGGCAACATTTTGCAAATTTTTAAAAATCCACACCTAGAAAGCTAAGGGTAGGCTTTGAAAAAAAAAACACCTTTAGCTCGCCTAGGTGGCTAAAGATGTCCTTAAAACGTTTAAGAAATGGTCTCTTGGGAAGCTCAGAGCAGGCATTAAAAATGTTTTAAAAATCCTTAGATGCCTCAGAAGCTGAGGGTGGGCTATGAAAAACGTTAAAAAATCACACAAATGGAGCCCAGAATAGGCTTTAAAAATTCTCAAAAAAAAAAAACACAGCTCTACCCTGAGCTCTATAGAAGCCTTCGACCTAGGAGCACCGGCTAGACGTTGAAGAAGTTTGTAAAACCTAGGCCTAGGCTAGACGTTGAAGAAGTTTATAAAACCTAGGCCTGAGGGGGCTCTGGAAGCCTTTTTAAGTATTTAAATTTAACAGAAGGGGGGTCTTTGCGACAAAAAGAGTTGACAAACTGAACTTTTAATCTAATTTTCAAATGAAAGTAAATCGGAAATGAAGACTCAACAGTAGATCCTATATTAATTCGAAAATGGCTCGCAAAGTGAGGTAATTATCAAAGGAAACACCCCTTTTCAAGCCTAGACATTGAGGTTGCATTTTGTGTGCTGATTTTTCTTAGGCTTTATTTGACTCTTTTCACCATCGAAAGCTCTTCATCCCTTTCATTCTGATCTAAAAATTTTTGGATTTAAATTTTTGTTGTTAATTTGTTTTCCAAATTGAAATTTCGGAGACATTCAAATAGTTCTTAAGTTATGCATTATTTCTCCAACACTCTACCTCCCATATAATGCTCGTACCAATCAACACCCACCCCGCCCGTCCGCCCGCCCGCTCACACACACATACACAAATAAATATTTAACCCAAAAGATAACCTCAAAACATTTTTTGTGAATTGCAAAGAAATAAAATATCAAATTTTTCTCTCGATATTCTCTCTTCTTCTTTCCACTTTAATTTGGATTTTTTCATTTGATTTTCATTCAAAAAATAAAAACAATTTATAAAAAAATCACTGCAAAAAATTACGATTGGAATTTGTTGTGTTTGTATGTTTGTTCGTTCGTTCGTTCGTATTGTTTTTTTGTTTCGAAAAACAAAACTCAACTCAAAATAGATCACGCTCAGGTGAAAGTAGTATGTTGCAAGCACAACAACAACAACACCACCAGCAGCAGCAACATCATCAGCATCAACAACAACAGCATCACCACCATCATCAGCAGCAGCAACAACAGCAGCAACATACCTCTTCACAAAAACCCACTTCACGTTCTGCCAAAAAACGGGCCGCATCGGCTAAATCGGGGTTTGCCTCCTCCTCGTCCTCTTCTTCGGGGTCAAATAATAACAATAATGAGAGTATTGGTGGCCAACCACCGCAGGAGAAGTTGGCCAAAACAACTTCCAATGCTTCGCTATCTTCGGCAGATAAAATGGCCAGTTCTGCGGCTTCATCACCACATTACCATGCTGATTTAACAACACCCACACCACCACCCACGGCACCATCACCCCTATCATTGCCACCACCAAGTAGCACACCAACACCATCGACGCGTACACCTACGCCCACCTCCACCCCATCATCGGCCACGCCTTCACCATCACCCATTGTAATGCTGCAGCAGGGCGCAGAGCACAGCAATTCCTCCTCGTCCACCAACACATCATCAGCATCATCATCCTCAGCGTCGTCGACAACACCGGTTTCGATGCGTAATCTTAACTCTTCGCCCAGTGCGTCAGGGGGTGGTGGTGGTGGGGCAACCACCAGATCCTCACCATTGCCACCGCCCATCATAAATTCCTCCAATAGCACGACGAACATTCAGCAATCGACAGCTACCAATCTTTCGAAAAATAATAGCAACAGCAACACCACCATGTCAGGAGGTGGTGATCATGGAAACAGCACTTCGGCAGCATCCTCTGCTGGTTCTTCTAAAATCAGTAGTAGTTCTTCTATGGGTGTCAGCTCCTCTGGCGGCCCTTCGAATAGTGGTAGTAGTCTTCTAAGTAGCAGTAACAACAACAACAGCAGTATAGTTACCAATAGCAGTAGCGGTAGTAGTAGTGGTAGTAACAATGCCAATATTAATTTAAATGATGTTGCTGGCAACAACAACAACAACACAACGAATATATCCGGGGGAGGTGGTGGTCTCTCCTCAGCCAAGCCCTTGAACAAGAAAATGCTAAGGGCCCATCAGACGCACCTGCAACAGCAACAGGAGCAACAGCGCCAACAGCAGAACAACAGCTCCTCATCAGGGCATAAGAGCCAACAACAGCAGCACCAGCAGCAGAGACAACAATCACCACCTCCTCCACCTCGAGGATTTACGCAACGCAACGTCTCGCCTGAGCGTAACTCTTCCTCCTCCTCATCGTCCAAGCTACCCAATCACAAAATGAATAACAATTCCATTTCTTCTTCCTCCAACACCACCACCTCCTCATCCTCCTCCTCAGCCATCAATAATTCTTCTACTTCTTCGTCTGCTCTTTCCAATACAACTCAACAACAGAATGTCAATTTTGCAAATGCTTCAAATCCATCTTCTTCGTCTTCTGCAAATTCCTCCTCCTCCTCTTCCAACTCCTCCTTAGTTTCTGCGACAACAACAACAACAGCTACTAACAACAACAGTTCTGGTACTAATTTAGGATCCACAGCTAACAACACAGCTTCTACTAATAATAGTAATAATAGCAACAACAACAAAGCCAACACTAATAAATTAAATCACCAGCAACAATTACAACAACAACAGCCACACCATGTTGTTGTTGGTGGCCATGGCAATAACAAAATAAATTTGAAAAATTCTGACAATGATGTTATTGAAATTTTGCCATTAACCACAAATTCTTCTTCTTCTTCAAATTCTCTTTTATCTTGCAACAACAACAATACCATCAACAACAACATCAACACCAACCTCCCAACTCCCCCCAATACTACTAACAACAATAATAATAATAACAACAACATCAACATTATGGCAACATCATCAACTGGGACTGCTACCACTGCCAATAACAACAACAACACCACCACAACAACTTCTAATTCAAATAACAACAACAACAATAATAATAACAAATCTTCCAATTCTCAAAAAATCAAATCACCAACTGCTGGAACCACATCCAACAACAACACTACTACTACTCCTCCCCCAACATCATCAACGTCAACATCCAACAGAACTCCCGACAGCGGTGTCTTCTCATCCTCCTCATTCAATGTCAGCAATGCCAGCACCACCAGCTCATGTTCATCCAGCACCTCCATGAATATGGGAGGTCTGAAATTCTCCTATGAACCGCAGAGTGGAACCGGTGCCTCTTTTTTACCACCCCCCATGGATGGCAGCACTAGTCTGGTGGCCGCCGTCAAAGATTCACCACCCAGTTCGCCGGGTTCAGAGGCCGGCAGTAGTAGCACAACAACAACAGCGGCCACAACACGTAAACGCGGTCGACGAGCAAAAGAGGCTAATTCAAATCCCGCAACGGCGACCAGTAGTTCCTCCTCCACCTCCTCCTCCTCAACAACAACAGCACAAAACACCAGCATACCAAATGATCTCAAAGACATTAAAGTATTTCAAAATGGTTTACCACCACCATCGGCCCCGGCCAGCAATTCATCTCAGCAACAGCCAACAACATCGGCTGCTGCAGCTGCCGCAGCCGCAGCAGCATCTTCCTCCTCTACACAACCTGCAGTTACAGTTACCACCGCCCCTCATATGTTGGGTAATCAACTGAATCCCAACAGTGGTATGGCTCAAAAACTTTCCGACCAACTGAGCATGGAGATACAAGATCACAATGCCTATACGGGCCCGGAGGCTGTTATGCCGCAGTTTGTGGGGGTGCCATTCCCCGGGAAATTGGTAAGTTTCATTAAATAAATTATTCCATGAATATTTGCAAAATTTAATTAAAAAGCCCTAAAGTATGCTTCAAATTTTGAATGGATATTCGAAGTGGACTTTAGACAATTATTTAAAGGCGGCGACTTCTTCGAATATCTTCTAGAGATGGTCATTTCAAAATTACTTTGGAATCGGGATGTAAAATATCTTAGAGTCATCTTAGAGAACTTCTGGAAGTTATTTTAAGAATATTCAGAGCTCTCTATAAAAATTTTCGAAGGGTATAAAGAGCCGCCCAATAAACGGATGGTTTCAAACTTTTTCAAAGGATATTTTTAAATAGGTATCCCAGCTCCCAAATTGTGAAACTTTCGGACATTTTTAGAGCATATACATAGCTCTATAAAAGTAGATTTTTAAATATCGTTTAAAGGATATGCAGAAATCCACAAATTTAGATTTTTAAAATATTTTCCCAAAGGAAATTTTTTTTATTTTTATTTATTTTTTTTTTTTTTGTAACAATTTCCAAAGCTATTCAGAGCTCCATAATCGTGGATTTTTTAAACAATTTCCAAAGCATATTCAGACTACTCCATAGACATGGATCTTTTAAACAATTTTCTGAGGATATCTAGAGCTTCATTAACGGATTTTTTTTTTTTTTTGAACAATTTTTCTGAGAATATTCTGAGCTCCATAAACGTTGATTTTTTAAATAATTTTCTGAAGAGGTCTAGAACTACATAAACGTGAATTTTTAAAATAATTTTCTGAAGATATCTAGAGCTACGTAAACGTGGATTTTTAAAATAATTTTCTGAAGATATCTAGAGCTACGTAAACGTGGATTTTTAAAATAATTTTCTGAAGATAGCTAGAGCTACGAAAACGTGGATTTTTAAAATAATTTTCTGAAGATATCTAGAGCTACATAAATGTGGATTTTTAAAATAATTTTCTTAGGATATCTAGAGCTTCATAAACGGAGTTTCTTTGAACAATTTTTCTAAGAATATTCAGAGCTTCATAAACGTGGGTTTTTAAACAATTCAGAGATTTTTTAAATAATTTTCCTGAGAGCTCCTAAACATGGATTTTTTTTAATAATTTTCCTGAGGATATTCAGAGCTTCATAAAAGGGAATTTTTGAAAAAATTTTCTGAGGATATTCAGAGCTCCATAAACATGGATTTTTTAATCAATTTCCAAATCATATTCAGAGCTCCTAAACGGGAATTTTTGAAAAAATTTCTGAGGATATCCAGAGCCCAGGACTTCTTGAACGTCTGCTGGTCATAGAATTACTTTTTAATGACTTTTGGCCGAGGATATGTCTTAGAAGTCTGTTAGCCTTAAAAGATCTCAGAAATTCGTAAAATATGTCTAGAAGATCTCCAAGCTATAAAATACCTTTGGAGACCGTAGAAGGTCCTTCTAACCACAGAAAATCTTTAGATAATATTTATAACAGTAGCAGGCTTCTACTGGCCATACGTGATTCCTCAGGTTTCCCAGCCAAAGAAAATCTTAAGTGACCTTTCGAAAGTCAGCGATAAAGGAATATTTCTCGACGTTCTTCTAGCCAGAGAAAACCTCTTCAACAGATCTTCTAGCCACAGAAAATCGTTGGATGCTATTCCAGTAATAACAGACTTCTAGAGTAGGTCTTCTGGCCATACGAGATTCCTCAAGTTTTCCAGCCAAAGAAAATCATAAATGACCTTTCGAAAGGTCAGCCATAAAGGAATACTTCTCGACGTCCTTCTAGCCACAGAAAACCTCTCCAAGATCTTCAAATCCCCAAAAGACCTCTGAAAGTCTTCATTTTTTCCCATTAGCAGCAGACCTCTGAAAGTTCTACTAGCCATACGTGATTCCTCATGTTTTCCAGTCAAAGAAAATCATAAATTTCAAAAGATCAGCCATAAAGGACCTCTAGAACGTCTTCTATCCATAGAAGACACTTAGAAGATTTTTTAATTAAATTTGACACTAAAAGGCTTCAGGCTTCAAGACATGTAGAAGGTCTGCTAATCAATGATCACCTAACTTTCGAGGTCTCTCTCGAGTCATGGAACACCTCTAGAGACATTTTCATCATTAGAAAATTTTTAGAAGGATCGTTTGACGTGTTAACATTTGAACTATATCTGCCCTTCTACTGGCGATAGAAAACCTCTCCAAGGTCACCTACCCCCAAAATATCTCTAGAAAGTCTCCTAGCCACAGTAGTTCTTTGGATAAAATTAAAGACTTCAATTCAGACTTCTTTTGGCTGCAATAACAGACTTAAGACCTCTAGAATGTCTTTAAGCCTTCGTCTTTTAACGATAGAAGGACCATTGAAAGTTCTTCTGACCATACAAGCTCCCTCAGGTTTTCCAGCCTAATCTAAATAGCTAGCTAGAAGGATTCTTCAATTCATATCACATCTGTTAGATGGTTTTGATAACCAAACTAGACTTTTAAAAGGTCTTCTAGTCCCCAGAAATTCTTTAAAAATGTTCAACTCAAAGATGACTTATAGAAGGTATGGTAATCAAAAAAGATCCACTTCTCGAGATCTCCCGCGAGCCATGAAAAACATCTAAAAATTCTTTTAGCTTTAGAAAACCCTTAAAAGAATCTTAAGAAGTGTTAACATTTGAAAATTCAATTATTTACATATTTCGCCTCTCCCCCCTATAGCGCAATACCTCAACGCCCAGTTTGGCAGCTCCTGCTGCACCACCCAGTACAACCTCCGCGGTTAGTGCTGGACCAAGTCCTTTGGCCTCAATGTTTGGCAGTGGAGCCAATGGCAGTTTGGCCATACCCCAGAGTCTGGAACAATTGCTAGAACGGCAATGGGAGCAGGGGTCACAATTCTTGATGGAACAAGCCCAACATTTTGACAGTAAGCTTTGCACAATATTTTCCGAAAACTTTTCTTTAACCCAACTCCCTTTTCCCTTTTCAGTTGCCTCTTTGCTGTCCTGCTTACATCAACTGCAAACCGAAAATGTGCGCCTGGAGGAACATGTCTCCAGTTTAATAGCACGGCGTGATCATCTATTGGCTGTCAATGCACGCTTGGCCATACCGCTGAATGCCACCACCAATACGTCACAGAGTCAAGGTAAGTAGGTCTGAGAAGAGATAGATATTGGAGTGCGCACACACAATCAACGTGTTAACCAACCAAATCACCACCAATCAAGCAAAACACCAATCCATCCCAACACCCAAAAATCACCATCCGACAATCTGAAAAAAAAAAAACAATTAGGAAAATATTGCATGCCAGAGGAAGAGGAGACAAGGCACAGTTATAGGATAAGAAAACTGGAAAAAATTACTTTCTTTCTCAGAAAAAAAAATCTTGGCTTTGCATTCTTAAGATATTGGTTCAAAATTGCTATCACCCCTTGGGGAAAAATCTTTGTGTGGAAAAATCTTATTGTGGTTTCCGAAAGCAATCAAATCTAACATCCTTCAATTAAACAGAGTCAGTTAATTGTTCATAACGTACAAATATTTAAACATAATATATTTTATATAAAAAAATCCAATACTAGCTATATTCTAATTTTTAAGTATTATTTAAAAATTATAATTATATCTAAACAATTTATATATTTTTCACTCCCTCAAAAACAAAAAAGAAAACACATAACCTCATCTACATCCCCGGAAAAAAAATCACTCTCTATCTTTTTTTAATTATAACAAAAATTACTTAAGATTTAACTCTAAAAAATATTGAAAATAATTATAAAAAGAATTATTCTATTATATAATTTGTAAATAAATATATATTTTAAAAAATTAAAAGAAAAAAATACATTTTAACCAGAATTATTCTAAACCAATTATATTTCTTTCTAAGTGTAAAAACAATTGTTTGCTAAATTTTCATTTCTTCATGCTGCTGCTGTTCTCACCACCAATCATTTCCCATTTTCTTTGTAAAATTGCGTAAAAATAATATCCCCTCATTCACAATTGAATACTTTTCACTTGGCATTAATTATAAATTTTGTTATTAATTATTATGATTATTATTATTATTATTATTATTATATATTTTTTATAAAAAAAAATTAATGTGTTTTTCCTCTAATTTTCTTCTTTACACTTTGAGAATGAAATTGAAAATAAAACAATATTTTGCTTAAGTTCTTTTTTTTTACAAACTCCTATCTACCTACATGTATTTAGCTTACTTTCTTTATATTATATTTTCTGCAAAAAAAACAAAAAGAAAACCTTTTATTTGTTTTAAAAATAAATAAAAATCAAACAAACAACTATTTTAGTTAAAAAGAAATCAACAACTATTTCAATGTCAATAAATAAATAATTATTTGAAACAAAACAAAAAATCGAAAAAGAAATTTTGTTATTTTTTTCTTCTCCTCTCACCGGCCTTTTTCTCTATGATTTTCATGTGGCATTTTCTTATTGGAATTTTGATTTGTTTCCCCTCCTTTTTTATACATTCTTATTGGCTGTTGGACATTCCCACTCACCACCACAACCACCACCACCAATCTTTATTAAATCATGCATATTATTGGTTTAAGGTGTTATTTATTGTACATACATATTTTTACATAAAAGAGCATATTCTATTTTTCAAATAAAATATTTATAGCAATATATATTTTTTAGGGATGTAGTATAAAAATTGTTTATGGGAAAATATGGTAAATGATGATATCAAATTTGCCTTTTAAATGAAGTTCAATATTTTAAGGAGAATACAATTTGTGTTTTGGGGCCATATCTCAATATTCCCATGGCATATACAATGTCCAACGTATTGTTAGGACTGGAAGTAAAAATTTTTTGAAGAGCCTTAGAGGAAGATCTCTGGAATGAATTTTAGTCATAAAATACGTCTAGAAGAAGGGGCCTTAGCCATAAAAGACCTATGGGAAGTCTTCTGGCGATATAATGCCTCTCGATGGTCTTCTAGCCATATAATACCACTTCAAGGCCTTCAGCCACAAATATCTTGAGAAGGTCTTCTATAGCAAAAGCAATAACAGAAACACTGCATCTTTCGGCTAAATTTTTTTTAACCTTTAAATTCTGAGGCGACATACTTTATAACGTGGTGGTAAATTTTACCCCTCTAAATATTACAGAAAAAAAACTTTGTTAAAAATTTTATTTGATAATCATTTGTTTTTTAAAAGTAAGCTTGTATATTTTAAATTACAATAAGTAAAAAAAAACATTTTTTTATGTAAAAAAAAAAATTTATTCATTGTAATAGAATAGAGAATTTCAAGAAAATGTGAAGGGAGGGTAAAATTTACCACCACCTCAGAAGTTAAAGGTTAAAGATTCAAATATTGTTTTTAAACATTTCTAACGAATATCGTATTGTCTTCGTGTTTATATAACCAGAATCCTTTATGGTTTTCGTATAAAGTCTATGGCATAATTTTAGCTATGGGCGGTAGATAATATGTGTGCATGAAACTTGGCCAAAAAATCTTGGTATAACCATTAACTTTCTAATTTTGTTTTGAAACGGTTTAAAAAAATATATTTTTTCCCCAAAAATTATAAAATACTTTCAACGCTATATCTTGAAAACGAAGAGGAATTTCATTTGGATGTGTTCCACATCTTTGTAGCCAAGGACTAAGAGAATAAAAACTTCTTGGAAAGTATTTCCGAAAAATTCCAAGAAGCTTCTCAAATTAGCTTAAAATTTTAAAATACAAATTTTGTTTTTTTTTTTTTTTGATGAAATTGAAATTAGTTGAATAGTTTGATAGCTATATCTCCGAAATGAATAGCGATTTTATGTTATTGTTTTCCGTATTTTAGTAGCTAAGAACTAGGAGAACAAAAGCTCCTAGGGTAGTATTTCCGAAGAATTACAGGAAGCCTCTCAAATTTCCTCAAACTGTAGAAATAAAAATTGTATTTAATTTTCAAAGAATCTTAGATTAGTTCAATAGCTATATCTCGAAAACGAATAGGAATTTCATTTTGCTGTGTTCCGCATTTTTGTAGCCAAGGACTAAGAGAATAAAATCTTCTTGGGAAGTATTTCCGAAGAATTACGAGAAATTGCTTAAACTTTAAAAATACAAATTTGATTTTGTTCGAATACTTTTAAATTAGTTAAATAGTTTGATAGCTATATCTCCAAAACGAACAGGGATTTCATTTTACTGTCTTCTGTAGTTTGGTAGCTAAGAACTAGGAGAACAAAAGCTCCTAGAGTAGTATTTCCGAAGAATTACAGGAAGCCTCTCAAATTTTCTCAAACTTTAGAAATAATAATTGTATTTAATTTTCAAAGAATCTTAGATTTGTTCAATAGCTATATCTCGAAAACGAATAAGAATTTCATTTTGCTGTGTTCCGCATTTTTGTAGCCAAGGACTAAGAGAATAAAATCTTCTTGGAAAGTATTTCCGAAGTATTACAAGAAGCTCCTCAAATTTCCTCAAACGTTAAAATGCCAATTTGATATTGTTCGAATAATTTTAAATTAGTTAAATAGTTTGATAGCTATATCTCCGAAACGAATAAGAATTTTTATTTACTGTCTTCTGTAGTTTGTTAGCTAAGAACTAGGAGAACAAAAGCTCTTAGGGAAGTATTTCCGAAGAATTACAGGAAGCCTCTCAAATTTTCTCAAACTTTAGAAATAAAAATTTTATTTCTTTTTAAAATAATCTTAAATTAGTTCAATAGTTATATCTCGAAAACGAATAGGAATTTCATTTTGCTGTGATCCGCATTTCTGTAGCCAAGGACTAAGAGAATAAAAGCTTCTTTGGAAGTATTTCTGAAGAATTACAAGAAGATTCTCAAATTAGCTTAAACGTTAAAAATGCAAATTTGATTTTGTTCGAATAATTTTAAATTAGTTAAATAGTTTGATAGCTATATCTCCGAAACGAATGAGAATTTTATTTTACTATCTTCTGTAGTTTGGTAGCTAAGAACTAGGATAGCAAAAGCTCTTGTGGAAGAATTTCCGAAGAATTATAAGAAGCCTCTCAAATTTCCTCAAACTTTAGAAATAAAAATTTTATTTCATTTTCAAAAAATCTTTAATTAGTTCAATAGCTATATCTCGAAAACGAATAGGAATTTCATTTTGCTGTGATCCGCATTTCTGTAGCCAAGGACTAAGAGAATAAAATCTTCTTGGGAAGTATTTCCGAAGTATTACAAGAAGCCCCTCAAATGTCCTTAAACGTTAAAAATGCAAATTTGATTTTGTTCGAATACGTTTAAATTAGTTAAATAGTTTAAAAGCTATATCTCCGAAACGAATAGGTCTTCCGAATTTTGGTAGCTAGGAACTAGGAGAACAAAAGCTCCTGGGGTAGTATTTTCGAAAAATTTGGAGAAGCTACTCAAATTTGCCTGAACGTTAAAAATACAACTTCTATATAATAATTGTATTCTTCTAAAAATTATAAAATTGTTTCATGTCTATATCTCGAAAACGAAAGGGAATTTTTATTTACTATCTTCCTCATTTTGGTAGGCAAGGACTAGGAGAACAAAAGCTTCTTGAGCAATATTTCCGAAAAAAATTACAAAAAGCCTCAAAATTTTCTCAAACGTTAAAAATACAATTTTTTTTTTTGAAGAATTTTAACTTAGTTAAATAGTTTGATAGCTATATCTCCGATACGAATAAGAATTTTATTTTACTGTCTTCTGTAGTTTGGTAGCTAAGAACTAGGAGAACAAAAGCTCATAGGGAAGTATTTCCGAAGAATTACAGGAAGCCTCTCAAATTTCCTCAAACTTCAGATATAAAAATTTTATTTCATTTCAAAGAATCTCAATTATGTCTCGAAAACGAATAAGAATTTTATTTTGTTGTGTTCCGCATTTTTGTAGCCAAGGATTAAGAGAATAAAAGTTTCTTGGGCAATATTTTCGAAAAGCACAAGAAGCCTCTCAAATGTTAAAATACACATGTATTTTTTCTCTCTTGAAGTATTTCAAATTTTCTTCATGGGTATATCTTATAAATTCACTCAGGTATTTATACAGAGTTTTTGGCCTAAACTTAGCAAGCTATAGGCTGAAATATATTTCGGTCCCGAAAATCTGATCCTATTAACTCAAAATTGCTTGAGAAATATATAGATAGATTTTAGTCAAAATTGTTTTAAGCATTTTTTTATAATTCGGTTTTTTATCTATAATTCGGAAATGAATTAAAATTTCAGATCATTTCTCTCTAGGCATCCTTGTAGCCAAGTACTAGGGGCGGAAAGTTTCAAGTGAAAATCTGATATAGAACGGAAAACTCCTTGTGGTACCTTCTGTTAACCTTGTGGTGAAAATTGTGCATAACCGTGACTTATAAAATGTGAAAGAAGAGTCCGATTGTCTTCGAATTTCGCTAATCCTAATATTTCCCCTAATACATGATCTGGTATAAAGAACTGATAGAGCGGACCACTCCTTCTGGTATCTTCCCCACTAGGGGTCACTATTTTGAATAAATATAGCTCTTATATTGGCAAAAAAACTGAGCGATTTCCCCCAATATTTATATCTAAAATTTATCTAATTTAATTATGGGATTTGTCGGTCCACAATTTCGGAAACACAGATTTTTTTCTGCATCAGTGGAGAGGATCATTTCCGAATATTGATTAAAGAGCTAATTTATCACCTTCTCATCAAAATATTTTATAAAAAAACGCAATGCACTCCATTGGGCCTTTTAAACTTCAAGCAGCTGCGGCAGGTCAACAATGCTTTTTTTTGTAGGGACATTTTTTAATTTTAAATATTGCCCAACATTTTTCGAATTTTCTAAAAAGGCTCACCCATGAAAATTCGAAGTTAAAAATTCAATTTCAGGAATCTAGGTTTTGAGGTTATGTTTACATTTTGTCAATTTCCGCAAATATTTTATGTAATGGTGGAGGATCATTACCTATTATTCATAGAAAAAGCAATTTCATCACCCCTCATCCAATTATTTTATAAAAAAACGCCCATTGCCCTCCCATTACATTGTGCCTTTTGAATTTCCAGCTGCTGCGGCGGCTCAACAGGCCAATAATAACGCCGGTGCTACGGCCACAATGAATTCAACAACCGGTCATCATTCGGCTTCGTCCTCTTCAGGCTCCTCCGCAAGTGTGACATCAAGTGCTTCCTCGCTGGCAACTGCTGCATCGCTGGCCACAGCGGCAACCACCTCCATATCGGGTACAACATCGTCGAGCACATCAAGACAGCCAACACCATCGGGACCAATGGCATCAGTACCACCAACATCCGCCACCGGCGGCGGGCTCTCCGCCACGGAGAGGAGTCGGTCCAACAATAACATGGAAAATGGTTTGGATTTCCGACAAACCAACAGTCTTTCGAATAGCAATGCCATGGCAATGGTGTCTGCAGGCCATGGCAGCAGTGGAATGGGGTAAGTATTGTTGATAAGTATATCATTTTAAGTATATGACATTATTAAATGCTTCCCACCATTAACCCCCTCCTAATAGAAACCCCGCCCACCTTTCCCATAGATATTTAACCCTTCTGTGATAATATCATTTCCCACCATGGCAACATTTTCCCTTCGTTCCCAATTGACGCGTGATATCTTTTTATTCTCCAAAAAAACCGAACATTTTCAAAACTAATAATGCTCTCTCGTTTCCATGTTACGTATTAAACCCTTGTGGTGACCCTGCAAAACTAAAAACCACCAAAATTTAGTAGGCATCATTCAGCTGCAGCACCTGGAGCAATTGCATCAAATAATAGCAATAACAACAACACTAGCAATAATAACAATACAAATGCCAGCAATGCACAAATGCTTGGCTCTTCGGCGATGTTGGTGCAACAACAACAACAGCAGCAACACCATCAACAACATTTGCATATGCAGCCAATGCCGCAACAACAACAGCAGCAGCAGCCGCAACATATGCCACATCATGCAACGCATCATGCACCACCACCCCCAATGCCTCCACAGCAGCAGCAGCAACAATCACACCATCAACAACAACATTTGCAACAACAACATGCCACCACCACCACATTGCACCAGCAACAGCATCACACGCACTTATCGTCCCATTCAACATCATCTTCATCCCAGAATTCCTCCGCCTCCAATGCAATCTCCTCGTCGGCATCTACGGCCCAGCAGCAACAACAACAACTGCAACAAACGCTGCCACATCTCATGTCCACTTCGCGTATTGGAGGTAATTTATCCACTAATACAAATTGTCTAAATCCAACTACTAATCTAAGTGGGGCCAGTCGCATGGCAGGAGGATACCACCATTCACAGGTCAACAGCACCACCCCCACCACGAACAATAACAACAACAACAATTCTTCCTCTAATATCTCCTCTTCTTCTTGTGCTATGAAAGATGGTGAGCATTCTTCTTCTGCTGCTGGTGTTAGTAGTGGTGGTTCCATACAACTCCAGGGTGGTGGTGTCCTAAGTTTGACAAAATCTTCCCATAAGATTGATAATAGCCTTCAACACCACCACCATCACCACCAACAACAACATCATCATCTCCATCATGGCCAACATGGTGCTGGTAGCATTGGTGCACATTTCAGCTCCTCCTCCTCCACCACCTCCAAGATTTCTTCTTGTTCTTCTACTTCAACTACTGCCAAGGGTGGCACAAATTATCCCGGGCCTTATAAAGCCCATATGCAGGTAGTTGAAAAACCAAAAAAAAAAACCAACAGAATACAACAACAATACAACAAAGCGCCTAAAATGTTTGTAATCTCATCTCTCATGATTTTTTCTCATGCTTCACGGCATCTTCATTCATCCATCAATTATCTTTCAATTCATCAATCTCCATCGTCGTGGATCCTTCCAAAGGAGTTTTGCATTTGTTTGTTCATTTCTTTTCTTCAAATTTTCTTTTCGTTTTTCTTCTGGCGCCCCAACAAACAACCACCCACCCATTTTTAACCACCAACCATCAAGCGAGAGAGTTATTTTTGTTATTGTTGTTTAATATTGAGAATAAAATCTTAGCGAAAGTGCTGATCGTTCGAAAAAGGAAATCAAAAAAAACCCAAAGAAATGTTCGTTCCTTTTCGTTAAAGCGCGTTATCTCTCACCATTTGTTGTATCTGTCTGTACATATTTATGTGTGTGTGTTTTGTCATCAATCATGTTGCATTTTGTAAAATTGGGATTCGTAAATCAATGAAAACAAAATTGTAATCATTCTTTTCATGCTGACCTAAAATCAATCACCGACCCTCAACCACCACCACCAACCAACCAACCACCACTCACCATGCAAACTCAAAACGTAACCACCCACTAAAATTTTGTAATTCCCTCATTTGTCCCCCCTCGAAACAGATACATTAACTTAGTTTTAAAAATATTAAAAAATATATATTAAAAAATACATATATAATTATGCTTATATATGTATAAATTGTTTTAAGTTGTATGTATGTTTTTGTTCATTACTATTTTGTTATTAAGCCATGGAACATAAACATTTGTAGCCAGAAAATCTTACGCCCAGGAAAATTGGCCGTTCATAATTTGTATATATTTTTGCTAAGATCCAATCATATTTTAATCATTTCTTAGCATGGATTTAATTTATGTGCTTGAAATGCATTCATTCCCACTATGCGCCTAAAAGTATGCTCAACAATTTGTTTTTCTAAAGCAATTATTTCTACTTAACCGTAGATGGACAGGTATGCACGCTAGCGTTTGTGTCTCGTATTCTCCGTCATGATTGTAAAACATCAATTTACAAATATATATATGAATAATTTTCAAAAATTGTTTATATAAAATTATCTTGATTATATTTTTCTTAAAAAATATTAAAAAAAATCAGAGCAAAAAAGTTATTTCAAAACGCCCTTAAGAATTTCTTTTTCCTTATTTTGCCCTTCTATGACTAAGCTTCTTTTATCAGTACGATATGAAGAAAATGCTTTTGGAATTTTCTCAGCATGCCAGAAAAACTATTTAAAATATTCTATATTTTTGAAACCTTAAGGAAACGCGTCTGCATAGAAAATTCCAAAGTCATAGCATTAACTATTTCTTTTTGACGATTTATAAACTCCATACATACGCATACTTATCCATCTATGTTTTAACTCTACAGATAAACTCTTCTGCCAGGAAAAAAATTAAATCAATTTGAGGATCCTTCCTTCAGCACATCTGTTCAAATAACGTCCAAGTGAGTTTGTCATTCCGCGATACATTTATATTCGAGTAAAGTATTTATATTCATGGTTAAGGTTAGATTAAAGAATGTGTAGTTGTCCATTGTATTTAACCTAAATTTAAAAGAAGAAAGGGAAACGAAAAGGAACATAATTTTGTGGTCCACGAAGAAGTTAACGTGTTGTCTTTAGCCTCTGTAGTTTTCTGGTTAACTGAAGAATGACTATTGGTTCAGTGTCGGAGGATGAAAACAGATCGTGCAGAATTTGCTTTCCCAAAACGCTATGTCTCAAACCGAAGAGAGTTGGACAGTGGTGTCTTCGTCAACATCACTTAGAAGTCATGTCATTTTTGTTACAGGGACCTGATTTCTGATTTCCCAATGGAGATGAGTAACCAGGATCTTTTCAAAGAGAGTACCTGAAAGTGGTACAAGGATGGTTTCACCGAGTTGTCTATCTTTAAATCGATTGATTCGCATTCCCGTCTTTCATATTCATTACCAAAGATGTTGCAATGTCTTGGAACCCATCAAAGCTACATTCTTGATCTGTATAAAATTCTATTTCGAGTTAGCCATGTCCTTTCGTCTTTCTGCCTGGAAATCACTCCAGCTTCCAAGCGAAATTAACTAATTGTAAAAAAAATTGGCTCAGATGTGTTTTAGATTCGTAAAATTGTTGATACTGAAACTGGTCCATATTAGTCCAAGTTTTAACCAAACCTTTCGCCCAAATTGTTTCAAATTTGAGGTTTAAAGTTCGTTATGGGCACTACGTATGACAAAAAAATACCTTTGCTGTTTCGATATAGCCCCCATATAATGGAACCTCCCAATATTCGGTATTCTCATTTTTGTAGCCACAATTTTCATTGGAATTGTATCAAATTTGGAATTTGGAGTTCGTAATGGGCTCCACAGCCTATAACAAAAAAAATTGTATACGAAGCCCCCATATGACGGTACCTTCAAATATTCAGTATTTTGAAAATTTTACTACGAAAGGGTCTAGTCTACAGGAGGTTAAATGAAAGGTTTTTTAATCATAGAAGGCCTATTTAGGATCTTTTATCTATAGAAAACGTGTTGCAGCCTTTTTGTCTGAAGAATGCCTGTTCTGGATCTTCGGTCATATAAGATCCGCTGTGTGTTGGGCCCCCAAAATAATTTAAAGGCATTTCTGACAACGTCGTTGCTCCATGGAGCCCCTTTGTAGAAATTTTTTACGTAGTTTTTTGCTTTATTTTTTTTTTTTAATATTTTTAATAGGTCCATCCGAATTGTGTGGTTTTATTAAAAGTCCATCCGAACCAGGGATTTTTTTACGTAAATTTTTTCTAAAAAAAGGTCCATCAAAGATATGATTATTTTTAAAAGTATTTTTTAGAGGTTCCTCGTTGACGTCAATTTTTTATAAAATATTTTTTTTAAATATTTTTCCAAAAAACCCTTTGTGGCGTAGAGTTTTTAAAAATATTTTTCCAAAGACCCCCTTTGACGTGGATTTTTTAAAACTACATTTTCAAAGGACCCACTGTGACGTGGATTTTTATAAAAATATTTTTTTATAAAGAACCCTCTGCAACGTGGCCTTTTTAAAAATAATTTTTCAAAGACCACCAATGGTCCACCAAATATGTGTATTTAAAAAAAAAAGTTTTTTTTCCAAACTTCATCAAGGACCTGGTTTTGTTTGCATATTTTTTCAAAGAATCCCCTGTGACGTGGATTTTTTAAAAATATTTTTCCAAAGGAACCTGTGTGAAGTAGATTTTTTAAAAATATTTTTTCAAAGGACCCTCGGTAATGTGGATTTTTTAAAAATATTTTTCGAAAGGACCCTCTTTGACGTGGATTTTTTACAAGTATTTCTCCAAAGGACCTTCTGGATTTTTGAAAAATATTTTTACCAAAGCACCCTCTTTGACGTGATTTTTTTAAAAATATTTCTCCAAAGGACCTTCTGGATTTTTTAAATATACTTTTTCAAAGACCACCACCAAATATGTGTATTTAAAAAAACGTTTTTTCAAAACTTCATCAAGGACCTGATTTTTGTTTACATATTTTCCAAAGAACCCTATAGAAATGTGCCTTTTTTTATTTTTTTTCAAATTACCTCATAGTCGTGGGTTTGAAGTGGATAATTTTGAAATATTTAAAAAAACAATCTGAGATGTGGATTTTTAGAAACATTTTTTCAAAGCACCACCAGAAGTGGGGATTTTTTGAAAATATATTAAAACATAATTTTTTATATATTTTCAAAATTCTCTCAGAGTTGTGATTTTTTAAAATGTTTTTCATAAACTCACTAGAAGTTTTTTTAACCTTTTTCTGTACATTTTCTTCTAAAATCGATTAAAGACGCGGTTTTTGGGTCAGTGGATGTGAGTAACGGCTTGATTTCCTTTAGCCTTATCATTGTCTTTACTGACATTACATAAGACATGCCAACATTTTTTCGGTTGAGGTTATGTCGAAAATAGTTTTGAGTTAATGTCAAATGTTTATATTCGAATCCAACAAATATTTTATTATATTTTTTATTAAATTTATTATTTTTTGAGAAATAGATATTAACATTTATTTGAGGTTATGTCGAAAATAGTTTTGAGTTAATGTCAAATGTTTATCTTCGAAGCCAAACAAATATTTTAATGTTTTTTTTTTTTTTTGAGAAATATGTATTAACATAAAATATTTAAGGTTATGTCATTTTGAGGTTAGGCGATTTTTTTTTAATTCAATGTCAAATGTTTATGTTCCAAACCAGCTTTTTTAAAATATGTTAATGCTTTTTTGAGAATTATGTATTCGAATATTTTTTTTAATAATTCTATTATTTTTATTCTATTTATTCATACCAAAATTTAGTCACAACTAAGGCGAGACGATAACATACCAAAGGCCAGCTGAAATTTATACTCACATGAAATGCCGGCAAAATCAGCGAAAAAACCTAGCAACAATAGCCAACTGGGCAAAAGTGTAATGGCAAAAGATGACAACGCAAACAAGAAACCACACTCCAATTCGAAGGACCACAAAAAACAGCAGACAAAACTTACCCAAAATGCAATGAAGACCAATGAAATAATAAATCTCTCCTCCGATGACGATGACGACGACGGCGATCATGGTGATGGCGTTGATGATGCCGCAGGAGGTGGAGCGGGAAATAACCAGATTACTTCTACTACTACCACCGACCAAGTGAATAAGAAAAAATCCCATAACTCTGAATTGGATAAAAATAAAACGGAAAATTCGGTAATTATCAATGACAGTGATAGTGACTCTTCGTCGCCGATCACAACCACCTCATCATCCCGACAGTCAGAAAACTATGAAGCCGAGGATGAAAATGAATCGGCCATGAAGGCGAAAAAACAACAAAGCCTGCTGGAGACACAAACCCAGAAGCAGTTGAAACAAGTTCAGAGATTTTTGAAAAGTTTCGATGCCAATAATCAGCCGCTGAATCAAGATGACGACGACGATGAAGATGATGATGAAGACGAGGACGACGTGGTTGGTCACGATTTGCTGCAAGCACAACAACCAACATCATCGTCATCATCAACGTCTGGCCAACAACGCATGGCTTTGGAAAAATCCGGTAACACATTGGCCGAATTGAGAAGTTTCCGCCATGCCAGTAAAATGCATTTAGCCCACAAACCAGGAAAATTTAATATTTCAACAAAATTTTTACGAAAATCTCGTAATAAAATGAAAACACAGACCATGCATCAACCGGAGCCAACACCATCAACCCATAATGAAATGCAGGAACAGGAGTTACCATCAACGGATTTCAATTCGAATAATAACGATGAATCCATTAATAAATTGAGAACAGATTTTTCCATAGATTCTCTCTTAAATAATTGAAAAAACTAAACATATTAAAAAATAGATAGAATGAAAGAAAAACATATTGAGGTTATGTTTGTTTTAGAAAAGAATTAAGAAAAACAAATAACAGAAAAAAAACTAGTACGTTTTATGTACTATATTTGTGTGTATGTACTTTTTAAATGCAAATAATGTTTACAAAATTTTAAATTAAATTACATACATATTTCCCCTCTATGAATACATATTTATGATCCATTCCACACACACACACAAAACAAAGCTTGAAACATAACCTTAAAAATTATATATTTTTTGTTTGTAAACATTGGTGCAAACTAATGGAGAAATTTTAACAATTTGTTTTTGTAAGAAGTACTTATTGGAACCAGAAATAGCTGGGATTTATATCCACCCCCTAAAGACTTTTGATTTCAGATTACCCCTCTCGCGTACAATTCGATTTTCTTGATACTTGATGTCATTTTTAAAGACCTATATCTTCGAAATCGTAGGAAATTTTGATTCAATGTTTTTGCCAAACTTGTAGCTTAGAACTAGGAGAATAAAAGTGCCAACACTCACTTGGGTGGAGAAATGGATCTTGACCCACAAAATTGGATATAAAGAAAATAAATACATTTTTCGCCATTTTTCTTTCATTTGAAGCAGGAAGATATTATTTCACGGTTATATTTCTAGAATAATATTCTGATCGTGGGAAACTTTCAGCCGGCAATTAGTCAAAGCAACCTGACTTAAAAACATGCGTGACTACAACTTTTTTTCGATTTTGATCTCTTTTGATTTTTTAGGGCACTCCTCTTGTTTGCATTTAAATTTTCGTAGAAAACGATGTCATTCTGAAAGAGATATATCTTCCAAACCATAGGGAATTTTTATTTCACGTCTTTACCCCATTTGTAGCTAAGGACTAGGAGAAGAAAAGTGTCAACACTCACTTGGGTGGAGAAATGGATCTTGACCCACAAAATTGGATATTAAGAAAATAAATACATTTTTCGCCATTTTTCTTTCATTTGAAGCAGGAAGAAATTATTTCACGATTATATCTCTGGAATAATTTTCTAGTCGTGGTCAAACTTTTAGCCGGTCAAAATGACCTGACATAAAAACATGCATGACTAACATTTTTTTTATACCCTCCAACATAGCATGGAGGGTATATTATGTTTGTCATTCCGTTTGTAACACCTCGAAATATACATTTTAGACCCCACAATTTATATATATTCTTGATCAGCATAAAATTTTATGCCGATTTAGCGATGTCCGTCCGTCTGTGGAAATCACTCTATCTTCTGAACGAAATGAAGTAGATTAATAAAATTATACTCAAATGTATATTATGTCTGCAGGACTTTTGGTATTGAAAATGGGCCATGTAGGTCCACGTCTTCGTATAGCCCCCATATAACGGTACCTCCCTATATTCGGTATTTTAATGATTTTAGCGACATAATTCACCGGAATTGTTTCAAATTTAGTATTTGAAATTCGTAATGGGTACTACAGCCTATGACAGAAAATTGTCTGGGCAGGTCCACGTCTTCGTATAGCCCCCATATAACGGTACCTCCCTATATTCGGTATTTTAATGATTTTAGCGACATTATTCACCGGAATTGTTTCAAATTTGATATTTGAAGTTCGACATGGATACTACAGCCTAAGACAGAAAATTGTCTGTGCAGATCCAGGTTTTCGTATAGGCCCCATATATCAGTACCTCCCCATATTCGGTATTTTGATGATTTTAGCGACATTATTCACCGGAATTGTTTCAAATTTGGTATTTGAAGTTCGTAATGGATACTACAGCCTATGACAGAAAATTGTCTGTGCAGGTCCACTTCTTCGTATAGCCCCCATATAACGGTATCTCTCGATATTCGGTATTTTGGTGATTGTAGCGTCATTATTCACCGGAATTGTTTCAAATTTGATATTTGAAGTTCGTAATGGATACTACAGCCTAAGACAGAAAATTGTCTGTGCAGGTCCACTTCTTCGTATAGCCCCCATATAACGGTATCTCTCGATATTCGGTATTTTGACGATTTTAGGTACAATACTCACCAAAATTTTTTGAGATGTCGTATTTGAAGTTCGTAATGGATGCTACAGCCTGTAACAGAAAATTGTCTATGCGGGTCCACGTCTTCGTATAGCTCCGATATAAAGGTACCTCCATATATGCTATATACGGTATTTTCATGATTTTAGCTATATTATTCACCGTTTATTTCAAGTTTCAGATTATGAATATGGTAATGGCTTATGACAAACCAAGCCTATGTAGGTTCACGTCGTATAGACCCCAATATAGTGGCTATATTCGGTATTTTTTAAAGTTTAACAGAATTTTTAACGGATTTTATTTTCTTAAAATTTCCAAATTCGTTCCAATTGGTAGAAGGTGTTCAAAGTTCGGCCTGGCCGAACTTACTGTTTTTTTACTTGTTTTCAATATTTTTTTCAAAGGCCCTTCCGTGACGTGGATTTAAAAAAAAAATCCAAAAAAACTTAACTGAGGTAGATTTGTGTTTTTTTTTTTGTTCTTTTTTTTTAATTGGCCTCAGTCTCATGTTTTTTTGTATGTATTTTCCCAAAGTTTTCCAACCTTGTCCCTTAGCGGCTTTCATTTTTTTAAATATTTTTACAAAGATCCTAAGTGATCCGTTTTTTAATATTTTTTTCCAAAGGCCCTCAATGGCCTGAATTTTTTATAAAAATCTTTTAAAGGAACATGAGTGAGGTGGATTTTATTTTTTTTTTTAAGTTTTTAAAGGGGCCTCAGTGATGTACATATTTTTTTTGTTTTTAATATATGTTTTTAAAGTTCCCCCCAGTGACTAGAAATTTTATTAAATATTTTTCTAAAAGTTACTGACTTTATTTTTTTTTTTTAATTTTTTTTTACAAATATTGTTTCTAAAGATCGCAGAGTGGGTTTGGTTTAAAAAAATTCCAAAGGATCCTCAGTGAGGTGGATTTTTTAATATACATTTTTCCAAAGTTCCCCTATTATTTTTTCAAACTACACCCCCTTTAAAAATTTAAGTTATTCTAGTTCCAAAAAGTATTTTTGAACCCTTTTTATGTCCATAAGGAGTTTGCTCCATTGTTTTCCACAATGAAATTCGTAAAGGAATTCTCCCCTTTTAAAAACAAACCAACCTTGTTCCTCAATTTTTTAATATTTTAACGCAACAATACTAGCATAAACGAAACCCCAAAACAAGAACAACAACAATAATTATTGTATTAAAAAATGTTATTTAAAAAAAAACATAATGTAATTTTTTATATAGATAAGAGAATCCACGCCCCAACAACAACAATCACACATTATTTTGTATATTTGTCTAATAATTTAATTTGTTTGTAATTTATTTTTTCTTTTTTTTTCACATGTAGTCGCCCATATTTAAAAAGAGTTTTTAAATCAGAAATAGTGTTCTTAAAGTAATTAGTTGTGATTTAATGTCGTTTTTTTTTTAATTTTTGTCATTGTGTATAATTTAAAATAGTAATTTTGTTTTAATGTGAATAAATTAAAAAAAACAAAACTAAATATTGAAATACAAATAAACAACAAGAAAATATGTAAAAAATAATAAAGCAGAAAATAAAATTAAAAATATATAATCGCAAAAAAATGTTGGGAAATTATTTTTGGGAATAGAGGTGGGCATTTTTTTGGCACGAATATTTAAATTTTCCCAAAGGGTCTTTAATATGGAAATTAAATTTTCCGTATTAAATATGGAACAAAATCTAAGCGGCCTATTTGTTATAGATCCCATATAATGGAGCCTTCTGATTTTAAATTTTCCCAAAGGGGCTTTAATATGGGAGAAAAATGCTAAGCGGACCATTGTTTTTATGACCCTATATAATGGCACCTCCTGATTTGCGGCATTTTTGATATTTTTACACCCATTTCTCTGTCGTTTCTTTTATATTTCAACATCTCAGTGGGTACTTTAGCTTCTCCCCAACAATATTCAATGCAGGACAACTTTTTGGTATATCCTCCATATAATTTTACCTTCCGATTTTTGTCAAATTACCAACAAGCTTTAATTTGGCATTTTGGGTTGTCAGGGGATAAATTAACTCCTCTGCAAAAAAAAAAAAAAACCGTGAAGAAAAGTCAAAAGTCTGGCGGGACCTACTGCATGATACTCTACACCACTATGCATATTTAGTAGAGCTCCCGTAAAAAAAGAATTTATTTCAAGTAGATCACACCACCTATCAATATTTGACTTTAGAGCGGTTATAGCTTTGGTTTCAAAGGGAACTAATATATAGGCGGCATATGCAATTCTGAACCGATTTTCATTAAATCCGACGGAGACATTTTTATCTTTTATACCAAATAACATTGCCATAGAGTGCAGATGGATTATATTAAAGAAAAATATATATCGGAGCCGAGTTCGCCAAATGGAAACATACGTCGCGAAATTCGCTCCATTTGGGCTGATATTAGCCATTATTTGCACAATAAGCCGGAAATCGGATTAAGGATATATATGGGAGCTATATCCAAACCTTAGCCGATCTTGACAAAAATTTGGCAAAGGTATTTCCGAGCTCTATAAGATTTCTGGTACCAAATATCGGATGAAACATATACAGGGTGAGATGAAAAAACTGCAACCAACTTTTACAGAAAAAAAAATTATTCGTGATGGAATTCAAGCCTGAGTGATTTCTTTATATTTGGCTGGAAAACCACAAGTGGCTATCGTTAGAGCACTCCAGCATTTAAATGTGAATAAAGCTTTTGTGTCTCGTACCGTCGCTCGTTACCAGAAATCGCTCGTCAAGCAGAAATGGTTCGAAAAGTAAATAAGCGACTTGACCGAAACCCGCGCCGCGTCGCAGTGGCCGAAAAGTGGTTCGTGAGCTCGTGAACATATTGCAATATCCCATTCGGCAAATATTGAAAAATGAGCTCGGGGTAAAGCCATTGAAATTCGAAAAAGTGCAAAACTTACACCGCAGCAGAAAGAAAATAGACTCAAAAGAGCTAAAGAGTTGCTTCGCTTGGCCGAAAGAGGTGAACTGCCGAATTTGGGTTACTCCGATGAGAAAACATTCGTTGCCCTGGTCAGCTGAAAATGTGCACCTTCAGTTGGCCACTCAAGAACTCAAGCGCCGGCTATGGTGATGGTGTGGGCCGCCATAATAGCCGATGGTTTTCCCCGCTTGTATTAATCGACCGTGGCATCAGAATAAATGCCGAATATTATCGCGAAAATATTCTGGAGGGTGTATTAAAGCCTTGGGCACGCAAACATTTTGGCCGCAGACCTTGGACATTCCAACAGGACTCAGCACCATCACACTTAGCATGCGCCACCCAAGAATGCTTACAAAATGTGGTTCCTCGCTTCATTTCTAGTTGTGTCGGGAGTATTTTGGAAAGCAAGTTCGGCACTAAAAAAATACCAAAGTGTCGATCACCTCAAGCAAGCGGGCCAAATGGGCCAAAATACCGCAGAGCAACATTCGGGCTGCGTGTGGCGGTTTTATTGGCAGTTTGAAGACCATAATTCGTGCCAAGGTGACCAATTCGAAAAAATCTAAAGTTACTCTAAAATTTGATGATATTGCCGGAATTTTTTGCTTTCATTCAACAAAATTTAAAAAAAAAAATGTAAAAATAATGGAGTTAGACTTTGTTGCAGTTTTTATCTCACTCTGTATATGGGAGGTAAAGCTATATCTGAACCGAATTTGATGTTCTTCCTTCTATACTGAATTTGGTCGGATGTGCCGAAATTCAGATCATTTGGACTAATATTGGACATTTGGTGGACAATTAACCCCAAATCGGTTGAAGATATATATGGAAGCTATATCCAAATCTGAACCGATCTTGATACAATTTCGCAGAGGTATTACTGGGCAGTATCTGATGTCGCTTACCAACTTTCATTATTGTAGAGTGCATATTACGAATGAGAGGGACTTAAACCCCAAATCATATGAAACATATATATGGGAGATATAGCTATATCTGTACCGATTTTCAATTTCATCTCAATTCGGTTGGTTGTGCCAAAATTCAGCTAATTTTGACTGATACTGGCCATTTGGTGGACAATTAACCCGAAACCGGTTAAAAATATATATGGGAACTATATCCAAATCTGATCCGATTATCACCAATTTCAATAGGGTTCGTCCTTGGGCCAGGCAATAGATCTGTAGAAAATTTCATCTCAATCGGATGAATAAATACGACCTGCAGTTTGTTCAAAAGAATACATGGACATGTATGAATCGACTCGGAAAGCAATAAAGCTATAGCCAACTCACGTTCATATAGCGGAACTTCTTAGTTTGGCCCTAAATCAAATTTTTGCATTTCACATTTTTACATCCTTCTTAACATTGTTTGAACTTGTTCTTTATTCTCAACCACCGCATATTCACCTCCAATGTCATTTGATTTCTGGAAATGTGATACATAATTATTCATCGCACATATCTAGGTATGAAGGCCAATGCCGTACTTACCACTTAACTTCTCGTGAAAGATAAGAAAACAAATACCTTCTTTCCAACTCCTCCTCGTTATAATTACTTTTGTAATGAGAAAAAGAGATATGGTAATTAATGGTATCTATTCATCATCATCATCGTCGTCATCATCGCCATCGGTACAAATCATTTGGAAATTGCACATTCAAAGATTGTAAAGTAAAACGGGCCAACTCGATCAATACTCGACACAGACACCTAACGGGAAATCAGTTAACGTTGATACTTTGAAGTAGACGATAATAGAAATAGAAAACGAACCAACTCGAACTCAAACTGAAAAAAATGAAAAATTATTTCAAATTCCACTGCGGTTTCATAGTGGAATTTTTATTAATTTTACTTTTCCGAATCGAAATAATACACGGTGAAGGTATAAAAAAATCCCCTTAAAATTTAAAAAAAAACATTGGAAAAATAAATCTCTCATTTCCTTTCAAGGCTATGCCAATCAAACGCTAACCCGTTTCGCCCACATCCGTCAATTGTATCCGAAAATCTCACAGCATGGTGAGGCCCGCTTCTGGCGCATGGCACGCAGTGACAATTTCCAAGATCATCCGTGTAAACGTGAATGTGTGCCAAATCAACATATGACCTGTTACTATTACATGGTGGTACACTATGACGAAACAATGGGTCCGGGTTGTGAGGAATATCTGAGGCCACAAAATCGTTATCGCCTTGGAAAACGAGAATATATTAATGTGCAAAATATTCGAACGCGTAACAACAAACGGTTTGATGATTGCAAATATGCCGATGGGGTGCATAGTGAAATAATGGTGGTAAATGGTCAATTGCCAGGTAGGTGTTTTATTTCTGGATGAAGTTCTGGGTGAGATTCTCGTGCCACCATACATGAATTTTAAATATTTTGGTGGTATTTGAAAATAATGTTTCAAAAAACCTATTATCTGTAGGTCCATGGCAATAAATGACAGCTATGTGTCTGGAGGCTTAGAAAATAGATATATATTTAGAAAAAAAGAAGTGCAGTAAAAATTGAAAACCCCCTCATTATCACCCTCTTTGATATTTTAATTTTTTTATCATGGACCTACAGATGTTTTTTTGAACATTATTTTCAAATACCACCACGATTTTTCTAATTCATGTTGGGGGCCTAAGAACCCTCAGTAGTATTTGCCAATTAGTACTAAAAAAATCAAATTAAAATGCCAGTGGAAAATATTCATAAAACATTCAGATTTTGAAATTTGGTGGCACCCTAAAAAAATCAACTGAGAACCTGGTTTTAAGGTCTGATAGTAAAGAAAATAATAAAATATTCACACTTAAAGGTATTTCACCGCTTAAAAGCTGAATTATTAAATCCGACTTGAGTCCATAAAAATTCACTTAGATCCTTGAAAAAAAAAACACTTGAATTATAAAAAATAATTGAAAAAACAATTTGATTTCTTGAAAAAAAAAATAAAAAAATTCAGTCTGAATTCGGAAAAAATACGCTATGGTCCCCTATGATCCAAAAAAATAAAAGAACCATTTGAATTTTGAAAAGCTTTTATTCAAAAAATTCAATTTGACTTCTTTAAATACATTCCTCAAAAATCCACGATGGCCACTATAAAATATTCTCAAAAAAAACGATGGTCCTTGAAAAGATAATCTTAATGAACAAATTCAATATGAAGATCCCGAAACAAAAAAAAAACCGATTCTGGTTAAAAATTAAGGTAAAAAGATTCTAAATACAGAAAAATTCCAAAAAATTCAATTTTCAAGGTCTGGCGTCCTTGCAAACAATAATCCTAACAAGTCCTCGATGGCCCTTAAAAAATTACCCTAAAAAAATTCCATTTTAGGTCTTGTCGTACTTCAAAAATATTCTAAAACAAGTAAACTAAGTATCAATCGGTTTTGTCGACATTGACCAATTCGTATATGACCTAAGACTGATATAAATACTACAACGTATACTTTATATGAGATATGTGCAAATTTTTGGAAAATGTGGAAATATGCGTGAAGTAGCAGATATAGCGGACCGAAGTATTTAATTTTCATACCTTTACCTAATGCAGATAAAAATATTGGAAATTTTTGAAGAAAATCGAACATTTATATCCGATTTCATGCGAAATCATAAATTCCATAATCTTCATAGAGTCATAATTATTCAAAATTTTGACCCTTTGTGGGGAGGTACTTAATGGAGTGGACCGATTTTGTCGCACCTGACCTAGAATTATCCTTTCTCTTTCAGTGCAATAAATTATTTTCTTTGAAAATGTTGACATTTTGTGGGGGGAGGTACCAGAAGGAGTGAAGCAATATTGCCCATATCCGAACTCGATCTAAGTTTGATAATAATATTACAATGTATCCAAATCGGATACTCCCTTCGAGAGTTATCGTTCACACCAGCCAGACAGACAGACGGATGGACATCGCTAAAACGACTCCAAATGTCCTGAAACGGATTTTGGTCCAAAGAGTCATTGGGTATAAAACAGTTATTTCAATGAGGCCATATAGCTGAAGGTATAAAAAACGAAGTTTTAAAATCTGGTATTCTTGCAAAAATATTCTTAAAAAGTCCACGATGGCCCTTGAAAAAATAATCTTAAAAAATTTCCAATTTAAGGTCTAGTTATACTTCAAAAATGTTTTAAAAAAAATTCGTTGGGTCCATGAAAAGATATTCTAGGAAAATACACAATAGTTCTTGAAGACCTTCTTAAAAACCACTTGGTTTTAATAGAAGTAGTTCTATGAAATTGAATGTTTTTGCGAATAAATATTCTTGAAAAATCACGTCCAGAGGTCATACGGTACTTAAAAAAATATTCTTTCAAATTCTTTGGACTTTGAAAGCCAACTCACATTAGTAGATTTACATATATAGCTTTCCACCGTTAAAGCTCTTTGGTTCCTTCAAAAATATAATACAATTTTTTAGCGTTTTGGATCCTCAAAAAATTATAAAATATCCGAGTTCATAGTTCTTTGGCCCTTTAAAGAAATAGTTTAAAAATTCACATTAAGACTCGTGGAGTCCTTGCTAAAAGTATTTCAAAATCCACTTTTATAGATCTTTGTTTCTCTGAAAGAATATATTTTAAAAATCTACATTTGTAGCTCTTTTGGACCAAAAAATATGTTTATAAAGTCCCTATTTATAGCTCTTTGGCCACTTCCATTTATAGCCTTGCATATCCTTTAAACGTATGTACTTGATTTCTTTAATTAATCCCAGGTTCCTTGTTAAATATGTTTCAAAATCCCCTTTTATAGATCTTTGTGGCCCTGAATAAATATGTCAGAAAAGGTCTACATTTGTAGCTCTTTGAGCTAGAAATAAAGTCCTTCTTTATAGCTCTTTGGTTCCTTCCATTTATAGCATTTCATGTCCTTTAAACATATGTTTTCTTTAATTAATCCTCACTTTGCTCTCTTTCAGGTCTATCCATTGAAACCTGTGCCGGCGACACAATTGTGGCCGATATAATCAATAGCATGCATGAGATTACCACAATACATTGGCATGGAATGCATCAGATAAATACACCCCACATGGATGGGGTACCGTTTATCACACAATATCCCATTGAACCCGGCCAGGCATTTCGTTATCGTTTCGAAGTCGATCATGTGGGCACACATTGGTGGCATAGTCACACTGAACATCAGAGAGCTTTCGGTCTGGCTGGGCCTCTAATTGTGCGGCAACCACGCAAGGAGAATCCTCATGCTCATCTCTATGACTTTGATTACACGGAACACATTATTATGCTACAGGATTGGATGGGTGATTTTGATGAATCGGTTGCCAAGAGTATTTTAATAAATGGTTTGGGACGTAATGTCAATGCGTCGATGGCGGCGAAGCCCATTCTCTATGCCCGATTTGAGGTGGCCAAGGGTGGACGTTATCGATTTCGAGTTATTTTCAATGGCAACACCAATTGTCCGGTTTCGCTGAGTATCGATCACCATGATCTCTTGGTTATTTCAAGTGATGGCAATGACATTGAACCGGTAATGGTGCAAAATATTACACTGCATGGTGGCGAACGTCATGATTTTATATTGCAAGCCAATCAGGCGGTGGGTAATTATTGGATACGTCTTAAAGGCCATAACTTTTGTGAGATCAATGAATTACATCAGGAAGCCATATTGCACTATATGGGTGCAGATCGTTTGCAAATGCCCAAGGGGGCAACACCCTCCTACTCGTATGAGACGCAAAATGCAGTAACCTTTAATTCCATGGACATAAAACCATCAAAACTGCACAAACGTTATAGCTTTATGGAGGTCAAGGGATTGGCGCCGAAACATAGCAAGGCTACGGGTAAACCATATCGCACCTACTACACCAGCATGAATATTGTGGAAAGAGGTGAGACATTTCTCTTTCAAATGGATGATATCACCTTCACCATGCCAAAGATATCACTGCTGCAAACACGTAACTTGGGCATTGGCAAATGGTTTTGTAATCGCACCCAACAAATGTCGCTGGGTTTTAATTGTCAGAAACGTCATTGCCGCTGCACGAATGTTATACAGGTGCCTGCATTCAAATACATTGAAATGGTCATTGCTGGGAAATCGATTACAGCACATCCCGTACATTTGCATGGTTTTACATTTGAGGTGGTCGGCATGGGTGTGTTGGGACCAGATAAAATTGATAAGGTAAATGTTGTGCTTTCTTGGAATTTTTAGTTTCAAATGGGAAATGTGTCTAACGGCAATAGAGGGTTGGTCAACCTGTAAAATTGTAATTAGAACTAATGTTAAATATTCTAACTGGTACTTATCCGTAGTAATGGATTCCTGTTCTTTTTTTATGTTTCAGATTGAACAAATCGATCGCAAAACACCATTACCCCGAAGAACTACCAAGGCCCCGCAAAAAGACACAGTTGCTGTGCCAGCCTACGGCTATACCATCATACGTTTCTATACAAATAACCCTGGCTATTGGATTCTACATTGTCACATATCTATACATTCGGAAAATGGCATGGCCGCAATACTAAGAGTGGGTGATGATGAGCAAATGAAAATGTGTCCTGTCAGCAATTGTGGCCTATGCAATTCGGTTGTGTAAATTGCTACTATATAAAAAAGAAGTATTATATTCCGAGTTTTTAAATAAAAATATACATAATTTATTTTGCTAAAAATATTGAGAAATTCTTATGGGCGTCTTAATTATTATTATAAATCTATGCCTTCTTGGGCGGCCAGAATGGCTTTGATTTTCATAAGCAGTTCTTTTTTAACGGCATCAGGAACGAGGGCTCTAGCTTTGGGGGTAACCTCTGTGATTAATTGTTCCACTTTGACATTGGTTCCCTTTTCCTTGATAATGCCACGGAATAGCAAACGTACCTCGTCGCGCCAACCACATTCGGCCAAACGATTGCAAAGCAAATCTTTTAATCTAAAAATGAAGAAAAACAAAAAAAAATTAAATAGAGACCGTAAATATGGGACATTTATGTGAGGAAAACAAAGCTTTAGATTCAAGGCAAGGGTTATTGTTGATCATATCATCTGAATAATACAGGTAGCTCTAAATGCGATACTACCAGTCTAAGACGTTAAGAAATGTTCTGAATTAATGCAGATGTTCACAAATTGGACATGTAATGGGAATGCTTTTACCTAAGTCTCTCTTAGGAGGCCTAAATTTTTGTTATAGAAAAATATGGCGACTTAAATGGGTTTAGGGCCCCGGCTGATCGATCGTACCACAGTTACCCTTTGGTGGCCGGGGTACAACGATATAAATCTTGTGGAAAGCCATACAGGGTTAGATGAAAAAACAGCAACAGACTGCTGCCATTTCTAAGCCACTCGTCCGACAGCCGTTAAAATTATTCCAATGACAGCTCATTATATTGTTTACAAGCGTACAAAAGCATTTTGGTGAGAATTTTCCAGAAAAAAAATTATTCGTGATGAAATTCAAGCCTGAGTGTGTGATTTCTTTAAATTTGGCTGGAGAACCACAAGTGGCTATCGTTAGAGCACTCCAGCATTTAAATGTTAATAAATCTTTTGTGTCTTGTACCATCGATCGTTAGCGTGATTCTGGTAGCGTAGCCCGACGTCAAGGGAGTGGACGGAGAAAAACAGCAACATCAGCAGAAATGGTTCGAAAAGTAAAGAAGCGACTTGATCGCAGTGGCCGAAAAATGACTCGTGAGCAGAATAAAAAGCAATATTCCATTCGGTAAATATTGAAAAATGAGCTCGGGGTAAAGTCATTGAAATTCCAAAAAGCGCAAGAACTTACCCCGCAAAAAAAGAAAATAGACACAAAGAGCTAAAGAGTTGCTTCGCTTGGCCGAATTTGTTTTTCTCCGAGGAGAAAACATTCGTTGTCCAGCAGTTCGTAAACAAACTAAATGATCGTGTTTACTTGCGAAAGAGATCAGCTGAAAATGTGCACCTTCGGTTGGCCAACGGAACTCAAGCGCCGGCCATGGTGTTAGTGTGGGCCGCCATAACAGCCGATGTTCGCTCTCCGCTCGTATTAATCGACCATCAGAATAAATGCGGAATATTATCACAAAAATATTCTGGAGGCTGTATTAAAGCCTTGGGCACGCAAACACTTTGGCCGCAGACCTTGGACATTCCAACAGGGCTTAGCACACGCCACCCAAGAATGGTTACAAAATGAGGTTCCTCGCTTCATTTCCAGCGCACAATGGCCACCAAAATCTCCGGATACCTATCCGTTGGACTATTGTGTCTGGAGTATTTTGGAAAGCAAGGTTGGCACTAAAAAATACCAAAGTGTCGATCACCTCAAGCAAGCGCTTCGCCGGGAATGGGCCAAAATACCGCAGAGCAACATTCGGGCAGCATGTGACGGTTTCATCGACCATTTGATGGTCATAATTCGTGCCAAAGGAGACCAATTCGAACAAATCCAAACCTATTCTAAAATTTGATGCTATTTCCGAAGTTTTTTGCTTTAATTCAATAAAATTTAAAAAAAAATGTCAAAATTATGGCGTTTGACTTTGTTGCAGTTTTTTTTATTTCACCCTGTACTTCTCGATTTAGGGGCGTTAAAAATTCCATAAGTGTTCAGGTATCAATAGCTCGATCGTCCCTTATTACAAAAGGCTGCTACTTACCCAATAAAACTTTACTTTTAGAAGGAGATTTAAACGCATAGCCGGTATCTGTCATAGCTGAAAGTCTTAAATTTAGAAAACTTTAGTTCGCGTAGCAGGTGTTGGATATACCAAGAGGAGAAACCTCCAAAGTACTAGTCCCTACTTGTTCTTTCTAATGAGAAAAAGAAGAATTTTAGTCACGTAGCTGGTTCAAGAAACTGTCCATTTATAAAAGACTCAAAGTTAATAAAAATTGTTAAATTTATAACTTTTTAGATCGCATAGCCGGGTTCGACATGCTGAGAGGAGAAAATTTCAAGCCACAGTGGAAGTTAGTAGCCGGCCTTCCACTTTATTCAAATGTGTAAATTTTTTGCAAATATGGCGTAAATTTCAGATCTTAGCATTCGCGCTTCCAATGATAAGAGGATATCTTGCTCTCGCCTGAATAAGACTTGTGCCTTGGAAAATGTCGTCCTAATCAAGACCTCAAGGGACACCTATGTTATATCTCTGAAGTAATTCGTGAAGAGTCTTCGAAGTTATCCTTCTTAACACCGGCTGCATTTACGGGTTGATCTTTTTCAAGATTGTTAACATTGCTTTGAATCTGGACCAGGGTGTTACTTACTTGGATCTATCTCCACTTAAAATCGTCATTTGATCAACTGTTTTTGTTAGTGTCATCGCAGGGATATAAATATTAATTCAACCAATAAGTTCAATTTCTCCAAATGTTCCAAATGTAATTCCAATATCTTGTCCTTCCTTCCAAAGAGAGAATAACAAAGCAACACCGCAATAAAAAGGGTCCCCGATAAAACAAATAAGAGTGAAAGACGAAATGACCGATAAAAAATTAAAGTAAAAGGGAACTTGGGTTGTTTACGAAAGAGTAAAATGCATAACGTCGAAATACTCTGTGGTTAACGAATGAGACATGAGGAAACGCAATAAGCAGGGTTATGAAAATCGACAACGGCTAAATAAAAGGGATCTAGAAATCGTAAAGAAGCGCTTTAACGTATTATATGGGAATATGCGATTTGGTCCAAACTTGGTAAATCATAATTACTTTGTTCCAGTACCTGTCAGAATTTACTAAAAAGAAAATTGAATATCATGGTAAAAACTTTTACAATCTTGCATTTCTGGAACAGACAAAATGTTCATACCATGGTCGAAGAATACAGGTAGATGCATGGTACCATGGTACAATGAATTCAAGGTAGGGCAGAACTACCATATGATTTCAATTTTTTTTATTTTCTTGGCTTAATATGTCATCTTTATTTGTTTATGTATGTGTTTTCTTTTCAATAACAAAAAAATTGTTCAGAAAATATTCAAATTCGGGTGTTTTCAAAATGTTTATTTCAACGTATGCATCGACAAAATCTAGAGTTTTTGTAGCGAAATAATCCTTTAGAGATATATAGTACATGATTTTGAAAAGAAGTTCTAACCTTTCATTCAGTTATCGCGTTTTTCAATTATTTATTCAAAATAAATGCTACAAGTTGTTTGATTTTTTATTGTTTTGATACTAATTCTGACATTACAAGCCAAACAGGTAGACCTCTATACTTGCAATTTTTCAAAGTTGACCTACCTTCTTTTCATTGTACCATGCATGGTACAATGAATTCAAGGTAGGGCAGAACTACCATATGATTTAATTTTTTTTTTATTTTTCTGGCTTAATATGTCAACTTTGTTTGTTTATGTGTGTGTATTCTTTTTAATAAAAAAATTGTTCAGAAAACATTCAAATTCGGGTGTTTTCAAAATGCTTTTTGCAACGAATGCATCGACAAAATCTACAGTTTTTGTCGCGAAATAAACCATAAGAGATATATAGAACATGATATTAAGAAGAAATTTTGACCATTCATTCAGTTTTCGCGGTTTTAAATTATTTATTCAAAATCAATGCAACAATTTGTTTGCTTTTTTATTGTTTGGTAGTAATTCTGACATTACAAGCCAAACAGGTAGACCTCTATACTTGTAATTTTTTCAAAGTTGACCTACCTTCTCTTCATTGTACCATGGGTAGATGCATCCATGGTATCATAAGGAGATAGAACACCTTCGTAGAACTACAGAAAAAGCTATGCCCGCTTTCTGTCAGACTCATTCAAAATTATATACCACAAGTTGTTTTCATTTTTTTCATATTTTTCCTTATTTTTAAAATGATTTAAATAAAGCGAAAAAATGAATGAAATGCCAGTATTTACTCTCAAAAATATGATACAAACTGTTCAATCTTTCAATTTCATGGCTAGACTGGTTAATAGAGAACGTTGATATGTCAAAAAATTTAAAATCTCCCAGCAGCTGTGTCGATGCATCTACCTTTATTTTTCTACCATAGTTTTTACCAAACATAGATCAACTTCGGAAATGGGCAATACCAGTACTCTCCTTCTGGAACCGTCCACACAATATATGAAGGATATATGTTGTACCTGTTCACTACTTCAGTAAAGTATCAATGTTTTTAATAATCATAACCAGAGCTTATATAAACTCATTTTTACTAAGAATTTTATGCTGAATGACAATGTTACCTTTTTTTTGTACCATGCTTACAAATACTACACTCGTTCTCTCTCGAGTGACATCAAAAAATAGATCTAAAATTAAAAAATCAATGAACCAGTAGACCAGTTACCTTACGTCATCCACTAACTCCTGTTGTTATTTTCACAAAAAAACCAAAAAAATTCTATCGAAAGATTCTATGAAAGATTTTATGAAAGCAAAATAAAATCAACACATTGGAACGCCTACTTAAAAAAATATAAAACAAAAGCCTTTTACATTACATCGCCACTAACTGCACTTGCTGTCTTCATTAAAATACAACCCTGACACTGCTTTATCGACAATGGTCTGCAATGCATTAAAATACAACCCATCAATTTACAATGCTGACAACATTTAAAATTCACACTCTCGTTCAATTGTCGGCATTTCTTCGTCAATTTTTCTCTCTCTACTTTTCGTTGATTTTCCACTCATTCTTCGTTAAAATCAAAGTAGGCGTCATCGTCATATATAAATGCAAGTACGACCGCCTAGAAAAGTCATTCGATATCATAGTTTGGTACGCTTCATAGCTGGCTGCTCCGAACTTGTGTAACGTAAAACAAAACTAATTTGATACTTTCTGTGTGTGTTTGTTAAAAAACAAAAAACTCAAAATGGTAAGTTTGGAAAAAGAATAGTGAATTAAAAAAATTGACAGAATTAAAAACAAATTGTTATAATCAAAAAACTTGTGGAAAGAAATTCATGTGATGAGAGTGTGAACATCTAAAGAGAAAGTTGACTACAACAACTAATGCCGCCATTTGCTAAATTACTTTTGATAGTTTAATTTGCATAATTGAATGAAATTAGAATATTATTAATAAATCTCTTAAAGTTCCAAAAAGTTGCGGAACCGGTATGTTAGAATTTTGTCTATTTCGGAAATCGAACCTCGTTTTTCTGTGACCATTTTTCTCTACCTCTTAAAGCCGGCCGCACCCTTAATCTCTGCATGACGTCATTTTTTGCAGTTGACGTCTGCAGAAAAATTTGTCACATTTTTTCATAGAATTCCGCTAAGTTTTCTCGTATAGATACTAATTTTTCTCACTGTTATATTATTTTGTATTAATGTATGTTTTCCCCCCCCCCCCCCCCCCCCCCCTCTTTCTCTTCCTTATAGCGTGAATGTATCTCTATCCATGTCGGTCAAGCTGGTGTCCAAATTGGTAACGCCTGCTGGGAATTGTACTGCTTGGAACATGGCATCCAGCCTGATGGTCAGATGCCATCCGATAAGACTGTCGGTGGTGGTGATGATTCTTTCAACACCTTCTTCAGCGAAACTGGTGCTGGCAAACATGTGCCCCGTGCCGTCTTTGTCGATTTGGAACCCACTGTAGTCGATGAGGTCCGTACCGGCACCTACCGCCAATTGTTCCATCCCGAACAATTGATCACTGGTAAGGAAGATGCCGCCAACAACTACGCCCGTGGTCACTACACCATTGGCAAGGAAATCGTCGACTTGGTTTTGGACCGCATCCGCAAATTGGCTGACCAATGTACCGGTCTCCAAGGTTTCTTGATCTTCCACTCCTTCGGTGGTGGTACCGGTTCCGGTTTCACCTCCTTGTTGATGGAACGTTTGTCTGTCGATTATGGCAAGAAATCCAAATTGGAATTCGCCATCTATCCCGCTCCCCAAGTCTCGACTGCCGTGGTTGAACCCTACAACTCCATCTTGACCACCCACACAACCTTGGAGCACTCTGACTGCGCCTTCATGGTCGACAATGAAGCCATCTACGACATCTGCCGTCGTAACTTGGACATTGAGCGTCCCACTTACACCAACTTGAATCGTTTGATTGGCCAAATTGTATCCTCCATCACTGCTTCGTTGCGTTTCGATGGTGCCCTCAACGTTGATTTGACTGAATTCCAAACTAACTTGGTGCCCTACCCACGTATCCATTTCCCCTTGGTCACCTACGCCCCCGTCATCTCGGCCGAAAAAGCCTACCACGAACAATTGTCCGTTGCCGAAATCACCAATGCCTGTTTCGAACCAGCCAACCAGATGGTCAAATGCGATCCTCGTCATGGCAAATACATGGCCTGCTGCATGTTGTATCGTGGTGATGTTGTGCCCAAGGATGTCAATGCCGCCATTGCCACCATCAAGACCAAGCGCACCATTCAATTCGTTGACTGGTGTCCCACTGGTTTCAAGGTCGGTATTAACTACCAACCACCCACTGTTGTGCCCGGTGGTGATTTGGCCAAGGTACAACGTGCCGTCTGCATGTTGTCCAACACCACAGCCATCGCTGAGGCCTGGGCTCGTCTCGATCACAAGTTCGATTTGATGTACGCCAAGCGTGCTTTCGTCCATTGGTACGTCGGTGAGGGTATGGAAGAAGGTGAATTCTCCGAAGCCCGTGAAGATTTGGCTGCCCTCGAAAAGGATTACGAGGAAGTCGGTATGGATTCCGGTGATGGTGAAGGTGAGGGTGCTGAAGAATATTAAGCACGGTAAAAGAAGAAGTCCATTGAAGATTCTAACCTCAGCTGAAACAAAATTCCAAACAAAAATATTTTGTTTAATTTTTTTTCCCAAAACTATGATGAATCACTCGAAATTTTAAAAGATTTAAAACAAAAAGAAAACAAGCTGAAAAAAGAAAGACGACTAACTGAGAAAATAAAAACATGAACATGATTGCAAATCTATAAAAAAACACTTTTTGGTATTTATTGATTTGTTGACGAAGGGAAAAAGGGGTATATTTTTAGTGTGCCGGAAGTCAGACATTGAAGATCTTAAATTATAGAATTTTGAGACTGAGTGGGGGAAACATGCCTAAATTTGTCCCACAAGGTATACTGTTGTTGGGACTTTTGATTTTAGCCTCTGCATGAGACATGCAATTGTGCGAGTTCAACAAACTCAGGCCTATTGTTGCGCTGTGCCCTACACTGCGCTGCATTGCTTGCCACATGGTGAAAGCCACATACAAATAGAGATCGCCTAGTAATTAAAGAGAAATTTCCATTTTCAACTTCCGCATCTGCACCGATTTGCTTCAGTTATGCTTCTCTACAAAAGCCAAACATGTTTCTTGAAATCGTTCCCCTTTTGTGAACGAGTAAAGATGAGTCATAGAGCAGAACGCTTAGAAGCGAAAAATAGTTTTTGAACTGATGATGATTTAATAACCATGCTACCATGTTGTTTGTGAGTGTTGTTGTTTCGGAATGTTGTGGTTGTTGGGCTG